GTAGTTGAGCGAATGACCCTCTGTATTCTTTGTTCCAAAGCCGCAATCGCAGGTGGATAGTCGTCTGGGAAGACCGGGGAATGCTAACTTAGTTTTTCCTCGACAACTGTCCTCTACTAGACACTGGAAACCTGTCATGAGGTCAGACGCGTCTTCGTCGCGTTCCCACCCGCCTCACGGCGGCCGAACTCTGCTATACCAATCTCCCTACGTTGGATCAATCTCCCATCCCGTGGTAGCCGATGTGGGCGCCAGTAGTGTACTAACCTAACTTAATCCTGTCGTTTGTAGTAGGGTTTAATTCAGAGTAATTACCTGCTCTGGTGTAAGACCATCTGCGATCTACGCGACTTCCCTGTTTTTCCAAGTTTTTAACGACAGCGACCTCCTTCTCTTCCATTACAGTATGTCTCGAGCCAAAACGTGAACGAGTATGTACGTACTGTGACATCGGCGGCTGAGACCAGTGGCGAGACAAATTACATGTTACGGATGCTTCGCGAGCTTTTCGACTTTAGTCTCTTCACTAGTCCCACATTCATCCTTCTCATAACATCCAGTGTCTTCGGACTGATTGGTAAGTCCTTTTTTATCGCCAGAGATTGAGCAAAGCTCAGCTGATTTTCTATCGCTTTCAGTGCAGTGCAGTTTCATCACTGCCAGTGCTACCGAAGCCACAGTTGACATCACAACACCCAGCATCGCCACCGACATTACCACAACCAACACTACCGACGTCACCAGCAAAGTTACAAGTAACATCAACAGCATCATTAACATTGCCAATACAAGCGAACATGCGAGTCCCAGGTAGTAATTGAGATGAAGATGACTCGATCACTGGGACAATATTTTTATTCACCTGAGGTTTCGAGATCCGTCGTGGATTCATCATCAGAGACATAAGCACAGAGCAGTAGCCGATACAGGTAGTGTGTGCACAGGAATTTGCCGTAAAACAGACAGGCCACCGCATCATCCAACGCCAACACCGCAGGGTCAGATGGTCATTGCTGATGTGGCGAATCAGCGCTAACGCCTGTCAGTTATCGATTTTTCTACACGTTTAAATTTTACGGCAAACTCCTGTGCACACACTACCTGTATCTGCTACTGTTCTGTGATTATGTCTCTGATGACGAATCCGCAACGGATCTTTTGAAGAAGAAGAATGCTATATTGAGGATTTTACAAACCTGAATTTTCA